AGAGGGGGAGTGGGCCCTTGGGGGGGGAGCGGCGGGGACACGGGGCGGGAGCCGCGCCCAGCCGCCTTGCCCCTGGCGGCCCGCAGCTCTGCGCGTCCCGTGCCCCTTTGCTCCGGGGCGGGGCCTTCAGCTCGCCCGCTTCTGGCACGGGGCAGCCGCGTGAGGTGGCTGGGGTCTTGGGGGCCTCAGCACCAGGGTCTTCCTCGTGCCCGGGGCCTGACCGCGCGACCGCACCCTGAGAGCAAGGGGGGTTTCAGGTGATGAGAGCCAGCCTCTGTTTGTAGATGCGTGCCAGAGGAGGGGACAGGGGTGTGACTGCGCACTAGCAGTACAGATATATAGGCTTACAGGTGCTGACACTGTCTTCTTGAAGGCTCAGATCAAGCGTGGTCTGTGCTTACCCGGCAGGGGAAGTAGCATGATCACCACAGTGGCTTCCTGGTTGCACTGGGGAAGACCGCTCTGCTGGCATGGTATAGTACCCGCATAGGTAATGCATAGCTAACCTTGGCTTTATGCCCACTTTATGGAAATGGGGGACCTCCCTGGCTTGCCCCGGGACCTTAAAGCTGAGGGCAAGCAAAACTCGGGGGCATCCGAACGAACCCCAAGCCTCCGGGCTTGGACCTGCATGTAGGATGCCTGCCAGAGGATTTAGGAACATCTGAAGCCCCAGATGGGGGTAGGGGATGTTTGCTGGTAGTGGACTGGCTCTCAGATTTGGAATTTGTTCTGGCTAATTTAGCTTGGACTATGGAAAATTATTTTAAAATAAAAGGTACTGCCTGCTTCCTTGCATCTGTCTGTCTGTCTGTCTTTCCACTTACCTAGCCAGTGTCTTGTCAAGACATTCATTGGGGGCCTCTTGTTCGTTTCTTCCTGGTGGCACCTTAGCAGAGCATTAATAAACGCTGCTGTGTGAGTGTGTGTGTATGGTGCTAACCATTAGGACAGGTAGTCCTTACTTTGATCTTTGTGCCTATGTCTTGATTGTGGGTAGCGTTTCCTTTTGCACATTACAAGAGATGGAGGCCTGTGCATCAACAGCAAAGAAGAGGGTCCTCCCCCCATGGATGATAGCAAGGGTGGCAGAGCAGAGAGAGACGATGCCGCCAGCAAGACCCAAGAGGAGGAAGAAGGCAGCTGAGGCAGGGTAAGTGCATTGTGCCATCTCTGATTATGTTGATTCAAATATGCTAAGCAAAATGGGGTCTGACTGATGCTGGGATAAGAAACTTCCAAGGAAGAAGGTACGGTTTTGTGAGTGATGTGGAGGCAGTGGCTCGTTAAGGAGCCTTCTGCCCTGCTTCAGAGCTATAGGGATTCCCAGCCTGGTGGCTGGGGGCCATGTGACGGTAGGGTCCTGAGGTACAAAACAAAGGGCCCAAGTGCATAGATCTGATAGCACTTCACAGATGCCAAGGAGAGTCTTAGTGCTAGAGCCACAGCTGAATACCTCTTGCAATTTCACATTTGCTGTGAGCTAAATAATTCTTTGCTTTGCTCCCTGCATTCCCTGTCCCGCTGTGTTCCTGTTGTTGATCCTTGTTCCCACAGTTGGTGAAGTGTTTTGAGATTCCTCAGGGACAGTTAGCAGTGTAAGGTTTTAGGATGGTTATTGAAAGGCACAGAAAGAGCAGACCCAGAAGAGGTACCTAATTGCTGCTTGCAGCTGGTATATACAAGGAACAACTCCACTGCAGCCAGTGCAGTTATGTTGGTGTAAGACTGAGAGAGAAGAGAATCTCACTCCTATTTCTGACTTCTTGTCTTTCAAAAACAGGAGTTTTGGGAACAAAGGGGATTCCTGAAGTGAACCCTGTGTAGGATCCTGCCTGCTTTTTCCTACGATGTGCACACCTAGGGTGTTTCCAGAGGGGCAGCATTCACAGACAGGCTGGGGGCCTCATAGATGGAAACACCTGCAGTAACCCTCTACTCTTGTTCTCCTCTAACTCCTGCATGTGTGCAGAGAAGCAGCAGCTTTGCTTGGTTTTGTGGCCAGTCTCTGAGCAAGGCAAACAGTATCATTCCTACACCCTCGCCCTGCATCTTCTTTTTGGTGACCTGGTAGAGTGAACTCCCACAGATGTAGAAGTCTCAGTCTGAGCAGGGGGTAGTGAGAGGAGAGTAGAATGTGTTAACTTCCACCTGGTTTTTTTTGTGCATTGCAGCTCAACATTCCCTATGTTATCCCTGATTTTGGTGTCTCCTTTCTCTGTTTCCAGGACTGTGACTGTGTACTGTATGAATGAAGCAGAGCTGGTGACTGTGGCGCTGGGGATACTGGCTGAGGTGAGCAGTGATGTCTACGGGCCTGTCTCCCTGCCTCATCAGGCTTTATCAAACTTCCACCAGTGCTTTTCCCCAGACCAATTTTAAAATGTCTGCGCTGCGCCCCTTCCCTTAGGGAAACTTCCTTGCCAGGAAAGCTAAATAGAAACTTTTTCCTTTTTTCCCCATCTACTCTATGTTAGTAACACCATAATTCAGTGTGAGAACTTGAGCATTCACCCTTGTTGAAGCTGTTGTGATGGAAGAGACAGCAGGGAGTGAACTAGGCCAGAGAAAGGAAGGGGCATCCATCTGGTTTAGGTACAGGATCCAATGACTATATCATGCTTTGCCACAGCCTACTGGTTTGACCTTGGGCAAGTCACCTAATTTTTGGGCCTCAAGTTCCCTGTAAGTAAAATGCAGATGATTGAACTCTTCTATTTGGCTGGTGGGGAAATGACCAGGGACTAAGGTGATGGGGGCATTTAGGTGTCTATACATAAATATGAGAAGGCAGGACAGCACCTCTGTTTCTGGGAGGAGTGTGCAGGGTAGGACCAGGAAGCGCTGTGGCAGGACTGGGTACTCCTGCCTCCTTTAAGTTTATTGGATAACCCTAACACAGGCAGGAGAGCATGCTTCACCCAGTTGCAGTGGCACCCTGGTTGAGAGTCATTGCTCTACTTGTTTCTGATCCTCTCCTGTTCCATCCTGAAGAGCCTTTAATTTCTCAGGAGATATAATATCAGAATTACCAACCACTTGAGGTCATTAAACAATCCGAAGCTTTTGTGACTAAAAATGTTAGCTGCAGGGTTCTCACCAAATTGCAGTTAGGTGCAAAACATTGGTCTCCAGTATGATTTCCCCTGAGGTTCCAGTGGGCCAGAGCAGTATTAATTTCTGGACCTACACTTCTGGATATGGAGTGTTGCCACTTTGGGGTGAAATAGCCAGATTTTAGATGATTATAGAAAGGGTTTCTATTTAGATAAGGCTTTATCTTTGAGACATGTTTTATGGGTGTATACAATTATTTTTTTTGCCAGAATTTGAAATGCAAGGAAAGAGAGGACAAAGTTTTGTCCGAAAGTGAAGAGGAGCAGGGATGCCAGCAGTTGCAGATTGATCCTCAGTGGAGTCCAGCATCTACAAATGGGTCCAGAACACCGAAGTCAGGCAGCAAGTCCCAGACTGAAGCTTTGGACTGTGCTGACAGGACTGTGTCAGAGGATGAAGATGACGATGTTTTAAAATATGTCAGGGAGATATTTTTTACTTAAAGTCTGTTTTGCTGCTGCTGCTCCAATCAAAACTAATATAGCAGGAACCATTTTAGAGGACAGAAAGTGGGAAAGACCCACAAGGTTACTAGAATGATGGATCTAGAAATGATGACAGCAGAGATGCTTTTGGGAAGCCAGTGGTCTCTCTATACAAAGTGAACCTGGAACTCATAACAAGGCCTTGGAAAGACCCTTTGCTGGTTGTTGGCTCAGGGGAAGATGAACATTGGGGTTTTTTGTTTGGAACATCAGAATTGCTTAAAGAGTTGGTTGTTTTTAAATAGCTCCTTTGACATTTCTTCCTCTTTTGTGGAAATGAAGTGAGCATGAAGAAAAGCTGAGAGTGCACATATGTATGAGAGTAAGCAGTTCCCATCCAGTCATGCCCTGAACTGAGCTTGCATGTTCATGACCAGAATATCTTGGAGATACCTTGGAGATGCTTGTGACTTTGGCACCATCTTCTCCATTCTTAATACTCCTCCTACCCCCGCTTGCAGAGTCCTTATTACCATTGGGCCTTCCCACCTCACTTAGAACTGTGGGACTTCCTAACTGGCAGTCTTTGCATGGGAGGCATGGAGACTGAATTCTTCTCAGCCCTAGGTTTTACCTTTTGAGTCAGTGTGAGGCAGGGTAGTGGAAGGTGTGCTGGGTTGTAGCCCTTCCTAACCCATGAGTTCTTTCTGCAGGCTGTCTTTTATCAACATTATGTTAAGTTTGATATCTCAACTTCTTATTTTCCAAATGAGTGTCTACTCTCTGGGAGCATCTGGTGATGTCCCTGCTTGTGGGTGCTTTCTAGGCTATGGAAGGAGATGGGATTTCAAATAAAGTATACTATTGAGAACTTGGGCCAGTCGCATGGGTGGAGTAGGCAGCAGCAGCAAGTTGCCTGCCAGATAGCAAACTACTGTTTAACTCTGACCTTCAGACATTTGTCCCAGAGCATGCTGAAAGGGAATATCAGTGTGAAAGGAGGGAGTATTGAGGTAGGTGAGGGCAGCAGATTAGGTGTGTGAGTGTGTGTCCTCTTGTCCACCCAGCTGCATTAGAATTACCTTGACCTTGGGCTTGTCCTCCCCGCTCGCCTGCCAGGCCTTGATGGTATAATGGTATTCGAGGACTCTGAGCAGAGGTCAGTCTGGCAGGGACCATGGTCTTCTGCAGGGTTGCACCTCCCCTTTACCCTTCTCCTTTCCTCAGGTGTTTGGTCACTATTCTTTGTTGGTCAGGAGTGTGAGATACCTTGCAGAGTCTCTGCTCAAGCTCAGCCAGGTTATTTACCCTGTGGTTCTTTGGTCTAGGTTTCTTCTGGTTGAGCCTCTCCTTGGATGAATTGATTGGGTTATACTCTACCCATCCTCTTTTCTCTCCTCTCCCTTTGTCATCATCTCTACTCCTTTCTTCTAGTGACTCTTTTAAGTTTCTGTGATTATTCATGAATTAACTCCTTTCACACTTTCTGGTCTCTTCCAGCCTTACTTCAGGCCTTGTAGACTAAACCTCTTTTAACAGACTCAGTTGTAGGGAATTAGGGTTCTGTAACCATAGATCAAGGACAAAGGAGATCTTTCTCTCCATCTGGCCTGTATTTACACAGGGACAATAAATCAAAAGGTGAGATCTCTTACTCCTGCTCTCAATTGTTTCTAATTCCAGTATACCTACACACAAAAAAGGTTTGATCACTCTTGCTTCCTTCCCAGTTCGAGGGTTCTGTTAGCTATCACTATCTGGTTTAAGCTCTGTTTTTCTTTTCTCTAGTGTGCCACACAAATCTCTCCTTTACTCTGGCCACCTCAACTTCTCTCAAGGTCCCACTTCACTCAGTGGGTCTGTTCTTTCCCTCCTCCCAGTCAGCTTCTACCAACTGTCCTATGGGTATTCCCCGCTTAGTCCTGGCTCTAGGGGCTTGCTGGGATGACCCCCATTACATTGCCATTCGCTGTTACTTAGCTTTCTGGGTGTGCAGAGAAAATCCTTACTCAGAGCTTGCCTGGGTTGTGACGCTCCGCAAGGTTTAGGCCAGTAGGATTCTCAGATTTGTTGGGACTTCTTCCCTGGGCCAGCTGTCCAGTCCCTGTTCCTGGAGATGCCAAACACCACACCTTTTTTGGAGTCTCCCTTTAAACTACCCAGTCTTCTGTCCAGACCAGTCAGAGCTAGCTCCCTGGGGCACATGTTCTTCAGCCCCAGGTGCCTGTCTGTTTCCCTGGCTCTCCCTGGACCATTTTGTCCAGTGCACTGGCGACGCACCACTTGTCTGGACCCAGCTGGGCAAGTTTCCTGACAGCGCAGCTGACTCAGTGGGGGTATAGCAGGGGCTTGGCCCCAGCCCCTGCTACAAGGTGGAATGAAGGCTTTCCCTCGGCCGAGCAGGAGGAGGAACTAGATGAAGCTGATGCCCTGTTATTTTGGAACAGGGATTATGATTTTGGACTTTGTTGACTTCTCTGGCAAGGCTAGGTCATTACCAGGGGTCCTGGTTTTCTCAGATTAAAAAAACAAAAAAACCCCCATGCAAATTCTCTGACAAAACCCCCAAACTCCGTTATTAAAATTAAAAGCCCCCTGCTGGTGCCTCTCACTGCCCCCAAAGCCCCCCCAGCCCTGCTGGTACTCCTCACTGCCCCACTCGTGCCTCTTGCCCCCCACCCACAGCCCTTGCCCTCCAGCCCTGCTGGAGGAGCCCCCAGCTGCCAGGGCTATGGGGCCGGGGACCCATGTCTGCAGCTCCCTGCCCCCAGCAGCAGGCAGCTGCAGCAGAAGCAGCATGGAGCCGAGTCCCCCACTGCTGCTGTCTGTTATATTTTATATGTACTATATTTGAAGAGGCACACCCAAGGCTCCTGGTATATGGAACAAGAAGGCCAAACTACTCTTGCTCTTTCCATATTTTGAACTGTGCCAGAGGCTGAAATGTTCCATAAGTAGAAACCAAGGGACGGGGCATTGCCTTAAGCCACAAAGTCACAGCTGATTCGAGCTACAAAAGAATTCCATGGTTTCTGCTGACAGCTATACACTCATTTTTAAATATACCAGGCCATTCAGTTCTTGCAAATAGTGCATACGCAAACCAAAATGATAGGTTAACTAACAAAGATTAATTGCAATAACTTGAGCCCAGATTGTCAAAACTATTCAGACATTTCTCTTCCATTCAGCCAACTGATTTGATATTAGTAGAAGTGAGACAGGTGCTTGAATGCCTTCAGTGATTTGAGCTCCATTGTTTAGCTGTGCTGAACATAACTAATAAACTGACAAGATATTTCTAGCTTCTGAAGTGGCACTGAAGACTCAGTCTCCTGGAGGAGTTCAGTGGTATCAAAAAAAGGCTTCTCTTTACTCCCAATTGTAGCAGTTGGGGATAAGGCAGGGGATAAGGCACAACACTGCTTTTATTGGAATATAAAATATACAACATGAAAAGAAAAAAAACAGTAAGGATGTTTGCTTCACTCATCACCATGCATACACATTCATTCATTCATACAAGAAAGACAAGTGCACACACACAAATAGTTAAGACAGTCCTGCAAAGGTTAAGGTGTTACCAAGTTCTAAAGTTGCTCAGGTCAGTCTGGTGGCCAGCCAGACTGACAATGAGAGATGGAGTCAGGTCTTGTTGGACACACCCAAAACTCCTTGCAGGTGGAAAAGACCCAAAGCCTTGTCTTCATGTTCATTCTTTATAGGGACCACTGTCCATACAAGCCTATGGATTCCTCCGAGTGAGACACGAAGGTCATCCTTGTCTTGCTGGCAGGCTGGGAGTGGTAGGATATGATCTTCTGGCTTTGTGGTCTGCAGTCTTCAGGGGAGTCGTTGCTTGCAGTCTTTAGCCATCAGGGCGAAGCATGATCTAGTATTCGGTAATCCTGAACTGCTGATTCAATGTCACTGCAGCCTTAAACCGTTAAACCACAAAAGACTATCTTCACCTGGTGCAAGAGAACTGTCTTCCTTCACATTGTCACATACATACATCATTCATCCTTTCATTACCTCTTTCCACATACGTCAGACATACTGAAAACCCTTACACAAGCAATTTTCCTTATACTAAATTTAAGTTATAAAGTAATAAGTCCAATAGGTCAAATGTGTCTAACATCATGAGACCAATATATTTATGCTAAGCAATAAGAAATTTAAAAACAGATGGTTAATTCCAGACCACTAATGATGACTGATCAAATTATTATATAAAGTAAATCATAACTAGATTATTTTACTGGTTAAATATTTCAT